AAAAAAAAATCCAGAAAATCACATTGTCTGATTTTTAAATTCTTTAAAAATCAGACAATGTGATTTTCTGGATTTTTTTTTTCTCATTTTGTCTCTCATAGTTGAGGTATATCTATGATGAAAATTACCGGCCTCTCTCATCTTTTTAAGTGGGAGAACTTGCACTATTGGTGGCTGACTAAATACTTTTTGCCCCACTGTATGTTGTATGAAATATATGAATATGTTTATTATGTATGACATTTAGGTAAATTGATAAAAATTATATATATTCCTTTTTTTTTTTATGTTTCACTTTTATTCTCTTCAACTCTATGTTGCCTCCATGCAATTACAATATGGCTTTTTTTCTCTTCTAGAGCACTTTCTGTTTTATTGCCACTGAAATGTGCTATATAAATAAACTTGCCTTGTATTGCTTGTCTGTGTGCATGAATATATTTATTTGACATTATAAAGGCTGCCATTCAGAAAATTGGGTTAAATGTATCAAATCATTTAAAGATATTTTGCCAAAGTAAAAAGAAAAGAGGTTCTGAAATGAAGATGACCCTAACAAACCACTAACCAAAAGACACTATTGTTCAGTGAACTTCAAGTCTTTTGGTTGAAGAGCTCCTTGCAGTCACCCTACAGTATCTGCATATTATAGTCATGATTCTTGTTGGGCCTCTTTAAAACCTTTCACCTCCAACCAGGTGAGAAAAAGTTACTATATCAGATTAAATCTTTTCTAAAAAGTGATGCTTTGCTTCTAACTTATTTAACTGGGTGTTAAAAAAGAAACTGAGCCTAACTCTGCAATCAAAATGTACGAACATAAAAATCATGCATTACAGTGTAATGCAGACTGCAGGCCTAAGCATTAATACAGATGGTGTGAACTTGTGGGGAACCAAGGCTATTTTAGCTGCTGGGTTCAAACCATGACCTGATTCTTTTAGTGACGATGGCTATCGGTATTAAAGACTGACACATTTGTAAACTTCTTTCTGAAGACGTGTCTTTAGGTCAGCAGGGCCACAGAAAGAGATGGAAGAAAAACCCATTTATTTGATTTCTGTCATGAACGTGTTTGTTCTAGCATTCCTCTCTCTGCCAGGTAATGTATCTGCTTCTTTTGTATCAGTCTGTTACATAAAGGAGGGAAATGATAATGCATGCAATTTGACAAATACAAAAGTGTCATGTAAGTGGATTTTCTATGCTAATGCAGTTGTAATTTAGGTGTAGTATTTTTTCTATATTAGAGAACTGTTTATATTTTGGTGAAGAAAGATCTCCTGAAGATGTGATAGTAAAATATCTAATAATATTTTATTGCACAGCATCTTGGAAATGCTTTGAACATATATGTTTGAGCTTATGTCTAATTTTTATTATAAACTGAACTAGAGATAAATGCTGATAAATGAAGAAAACGGGGACCGCAATTAATCATAATGTTAAATTCAAAAGGTATTTATGTCTAACTGGGCAAATTATGAGTGATGCATATTTGATAACTGAGCAAGAGTTTGTTACCCTGTCAGATATAAAAAAAAAAAAGTTTAATTTGTAGAAGGATAAAAATACAAAATATAGATAAAGTTATATTAATATAGAGGATTTTTTTTTTTTTTTTTTTTTTTTACAAATGTGCAAAACCAGAGTATTCAGACTTCTGATCCAGTTTCATTATCACAAAAACCTGTGAAAACGGTGAAAAATCTGAAAGTGAAATTGTTTGAAACTTAACCCTGTAATGGCAAATGTATCACATTTGATACATGCGGTTTCTTAAATGTTTCTGACACCTTATGCATAATTTAATGGTAAAAACTTTGCTCAAAATCCTATTGTACACAATCAGATATACCTGATAACAGAGGACAGAAGACTACACAAAAAATAATCTTGACTTATCGCATAGTAATAAATTATTAATATCAAAAATGGATTTCTGTTTTTTCTTTTTACATATTTTGTTAAAAGGCCAAATAAGGACTTCAAACCAAAAAAGTAATTTTCTGTTTTGTTTTATTCTTGGATCGGGCTTTAAAGGGTTAAATGCAAAATAGTTGCTGCATCTCCATGAACTCAGTAATGCATATTTATCGTTATATGGTCCAAGTACTGAAAAGGTAGCTATGTTTGAATTTTTGACAGAAAGAAAGATTTAATATGCCAATAGCATGATAATCTTTAAACGTTGAATTTAGGCACGTATGTTGTCTTTCTTTTCTTAGAAAAAGTGCATTGCTGTACAAGCACCTCACCCCACAAACTTCCCTTTTCTCTTCGTCAATAAAAACGGATGTGGACTATGTGTTTGCACATCAAGCAACACCTTTGACTTCACCTTGTTTAGGTCAAGGGGGAAAGCTCACAATGAGAAAGATTTATATCCGTTTTTACTTGCCTTTTTTTTTTTACATAGACAGCGCTATACTTGTTTACAGAGAAAAAAGGACAGACAGGAAAGGCTTGTTTATCATTAATTTCTGGTTATCTAATAAGAACCTCAGAACTAACCATAAAAAAAAACAACAATCAATAAAATTAACCAAAAAAAGAGAAAGTAACATTTCACACTGTTTTTAAATTTTGTCAAATGTGTTCAGTAAAGTCTGTCTAATTAAGATTACTAAATACATTACAATAGTTAAACCATAATAACATCTCTATACAGAAAGGCCTTAGCCTCGGATTTGAACCCAGGAACTTCTTGCTGGAAAACAGCAAGAAGCATTTTTGTGTCCACTACATATCCAACAGAGCTATACAATTAATGTGAGTCTAGATCAAAATAGGAGTGTAAGGAAACAATATCAAAACAGTTGAGTTTTCAAACAAATTTTGAACATTGCGCTGTTTTCTTCTTGCAAAGTACTCTTGTTCTAAATGGTGCAGCAGGGCTCTTTCTCCCTGGTGCATATGAACACTGCAATGCAAGGCCCAATATCTTTGCATATTGGACAATGTGGAAGATGCAATAATGGAGCAATTCTCTAAAAAAAAAAAAGAGTGGGTTTTTTTTTGGTTTCTTGCATTGTTTTACTGTACAAGGACAAAAACATTTCTATGACAAAAATATCTCAGACGAATTTGTGAAACAGAACAAAATATTCTTCTTGTGTTGTAAATTCATGTGCTGATTTTTGTCCTATTGATCTCACCTATTCTTTTCTCTGATCTACTGCAGGGCTTCAAGGTCAGGGGGGCTGGAGCGTGACTTACTCTCCCTCACAGATCTGTGCCATAAAGGGCTCAACAGTGGAATTAAAATGCACATATCCACCCAAAATAAATGATACAGTTATAGTGGTTCAAAACATACAATGGTTTACCAAAGGGACAAATGCTGCTCCTGTAAATCTGAGAAAGGACCAAAACTATGCAGGTCGGGTTGAGTACAGAAATGGCTGCACTGTGAGAATCAGGGATATTAGAGAAACGGACTCAGCTGTCTACAAGATAAGTCTTAAAACAAATTACCATCAGGGATCATATACTGCCGTTCCAGGGGTTAGCTTGTCTGTCTCTGGTAATATTTCTCATTTCAATTTAATGATTTAACTTTTACGGGTTTACATACATTTAATTTCTGTGATGCTATCTTGTATTTAGGACTCAAGCTGCATGTGATCAAATCAGAGCGCAGACAGAATTATATTTGGACACAGATGAAATGCAACAGCAGTTGTCTACCTGATCAACATCCCTACATCTGGATTAAGAACGGGAATGAAACTTTGGCGGGGACCTCCTCATTTTTTCAATACACATTCTGTGATACGGAGCGCATTTCATGTGCTGCAAAAGGATATGAGAAGTTCCCCTCTCCATCAGTGTGTCAGTTTCTTTTACAGTATTGCCTTTAACCACAAACAGTTTTAATGTTGGCAGATCAATAAGAAGAAAATGTCATAAAAATGTATTTAATTTTTATTTCAAAAGTGGTTTGAACTTGTATAACTCTTCAGTATGATTCAGTTTTTTTGTTTTCTTTTTTCGGGAAGGGTTAATCAGTTTTACATCTTATGCCTGCTCAACATCAGCCATGGTTTGTAATAAAGAAGGTTGAGTTATAAAGGAATGAATTTAAGCTTACAAATACAAAATTGTAAAAACATAACTTAATTACAAAATTGTTACTTTCGGCTAATCATCCTCAGTATTCTGAACTTCCAGGAGGTTGAACATATATAGGAATGTTCCCTGTGAATTTTGGTCCAAATACATCAAATACAAGAGGAATGATACTGATCCTGTTTTTAATGTGGAAGCTCTTAGAGAACAAGCATTTTAGTTAACTATAAACAGCATCCTTATCTCAAATGGAAACATTAAAAAAAACAATGTATACCATATAGAGCAAGAAATAAATATACTTTTCAGGAGTAACAAAATATGTTTTGTTGCCCCTGAAAGATTTTGTACCCATTTAGATACTAGTTTCCTTTTTCCAAAAACTTAGGTTATAGGTGCTAACTATTACAGCTAATTAAGTTGACAGAGACTATCCAGTTCCTAAAGTGTATTTTCTCTCCCAGATGCACCAAGGCCCCCGACTGTTTCACATCATCCACTAGGGGAGGTGGTGGAGGGAAGCTCTGTGACTTTGGTTTGTAACAGTGATGCTAATCCACCTGCTACCTACAAATGGTACAAGGAGGATGAACCAGATCCATGCAGCAAAGAGTCAAAGCTTGTTTTCAAATCAGTTCAGTCCTCTGACTCTGGAAAATATTCCTGCAAAGCTGAAAATGTGCTAAACATGACATCAGAGGATATCATATTGGATGTAGAATGTAAGTTTCCTTGAAACAAACCCTGTTTTTTTTTTTTGTTTTTTTTTTGTTCTTCTCTTTTCTTTTTTTTTCTTTTTTTTTGTGTTGTGTCTTTGTTTAGGTAAAACACCCAGATTGACTTAGGCTCAGTTTAAGTCAGTCAGGCTGGCCAGGGTACCTTTAAAGATGCAAGTCTCTGACACACTTTAAGGACAAAGAATTTTTAATATTGTTCTTTTTTTTTAGCTCATTGCTGAGAAGAGCATGTTATGTGTAATACATCATAGTTTTTTTGTCATTTAGTTTTAAACAATAGCTGAACTAAGAAACTACCCTAGCCCCTAGTTTGATCATTACTAATAATAAGTTGATGCCAAAGTTTATGCATAAACTGGCCTTACTGCCATGACCACAGGAGTCAGACATTTTTACAGTATCCGGAAATAAAGAATTTAAAAGAAGCGTCGTTACTATTTGATACAAATCTCCTCATATGATCCTTATATCTTGATTCCTTCAGATGCTCCAAGGCTTCCTGTGGTGTCTTTGGTTCCCTCTGGTGACATTGTGGAGGGCATGTCATTGACACTGACCTGCAGCAGTGATGCCAACCCTGTAGCTAATTACAGCTGGTTTAAAGAAAATGAAAAATGGCCACAGTATTCAAGACAAAACTTCACCATTGCAGATATAGGACAACAACACAGTGGGCTTTATCACTGTGAAGCCCACAACAGGAGAGGAAGTCTCAAATCTTCTATACATTTTACTGTTGCTGAAAGTAAGTTGAATAAAGCACCCTGTTCACTACAGCATTCTGAGCTGAAGTTATATTTTTTTGAAGTTGGATTTTGTTTGGAAATAATGAGTAGTTGTTGACTTGACCTATACAAGATAATACTCCCATTACCTTGATTAGATTTAATAGAAATAGGTTAAAACTACAAAGCTATATAAATACAAACCAGCAGGAAGGGTTTTGATAAACCAAAAACTGTCCTTTTTGGGAACAATTCAGGTTTTCAGTCAACTAGAGAGGGGCTTGAACCTTTGAACTAGCTCTATTGCTTAGGCCGACCATAGTAACAACAGTTTGGGGTGTTATTTTATTTTTATTTATTTATTTTTTTTCACTTTTTTCTCAATTATCTTTGAGCTTTTAATTGCTAATTCCTCAACTATAGCACCATGAGGTCAACTAATGTTTTCCCCATAACCAAACTAAATTTGATGACAACTTTCTTGCAGAACAAACCTGACATGCTGAAATTTCTAGGTATTTTTTTTTTAAATTTTGGGCATTTTTGGAGTTTTCATAATGAGTCCAGAACTTATGTCCAACGACAGCCTTACTTATGCACAACACACAAGCCAGTGTCCTCAGGCGAGTAGCAATGCGCCCGAGGCGCCCGACCTGCATAAAAAGATTTCTTTGATTGTGGTATCAACCTAGCTGCTGTTTGGCTCCAGCCAAAATAAATAATTAAATGAATTAATAAAAATAAAGAATAAAGGATTGCAGCCTCAGCAGATTCAGCGTAATGTCAGCTAGGACATTTTTTGGTCATGGTTTTGGGCGTGAATGCAGGGGAGAGAACCATCACACTCACCTTCACGCTCACCCTATGATGGGGATGAAGTCTGGAAAAGTACAGACAGTTTCCTCCTATGAACCCCTTTTTATACCAAAACCCTGCCAATACACCATTATACAGTTGCTGTAAGTTAGAAACATGTTCAGGACGACCACTGAACATGTTAAAATAGTTGATATGCGTTGGAGATAAGTTCCTGATAAGTTACGCATAAGTTATGCACAAGTTACACATAGGTTTTGGACAGGCTAGACACTAAGACTTATGAGTAACTTACACTTACTGTGTGTTAAAGATTAGATAAATTACCTGTAACTTATGGCCCACGTATGAGCATATGCTGGCGTATTTGCTGTATGTCGACGTGTTTCAGTGTACTTCAGCATGCTCATAACTTATACAAAATGAACCCATAACTTATCGAACGTATGCCAGCGTTTTTGCCAGAGTTTCCGTAATACGCTGACTAAATCGTCAAGGTGTGACATGGGCTTAAGTTCATAAAACTCTGCAAGCACTCTGCAAAACTGGCATTAGAAATACCAGTAGCTTATTGTATTAGCAGTAGACACGCTAGTCTGTCATGCTGTTTGCTGTAAACATTGCTGTGAAACCAGATGTTATTCAATGAAAAGTGTTGTTACCAATTGAACGCAAAGGTGAGCTGTGTGTATCACTCACATTTCTCAGAGTTAACGTTCATTACTTAAAAATGGGTCGTTCAGTTCACTGTTCACTGAAAATGGGAATGTATTCAGTGAATTCCATTCATTGATCGGGTTCATGCACAACACTGCTGGCAAATATGGATGACCTTGTTTTCTAGGGTCAGTTCTGAATCCATCTTTAGCTGTTCCCTTGTCTTTTATACCAAGAGCTAGTTGGTCTCTTACTGTAAAGCTCCATTGCCACAAAGCTCTGCTAGAGTAGAGAGCAGTGACAAGTCAAGACAAGGTTTAGCTTCCAAATTATTACAGAACTCTTTTCAAACTTATCAAATTAAATTTGGACCACAGTCAGAGGTCATTTCAGATGGAATTCAATAAAAAAGGCTGACGGGAATTTAGTGAAGGTAATAAGATGACTAACAAGAACAAGATAATGATTCTCAGAATACACTCTAATAGATGGAGATGGGGAGTTCTGTTCTGTTCAGTTTTGTTCCTTCTAGCCAGTGTCTAGCTTTTTAAATTAGCTTTTGGCTCCAGTTCTTCACTATAGGTCTTTAAGATGAGTATAAACAACAAGTGGATGAGATTTTCTATTTAAAATTGTTTAGCACACTGAGTGCTAGGTTTTACACTTGTACGTTGATTCCATTTGTGGTTTTGTTTAGTTTGTATTTCAAACTTGTTTGTAATTTTCAGTTATTTTCACTGTAATTTTGTGGAGCGCAAGATGTCCCATTTGAAAGTCTCTTATCTATAACATTTTAACATAAACTGCATATTTTATACACTTTAGCAAAAAATGTAGATAAAATCAGATATATGAGAAGATTTTTTTTGCCCATTTTCCATTAAAATATTTGTCTTCTTTCTTGTAGGGATGCATTTCAAGATAATGAATATCGCAAAACTGGCTGTGGCTACACTGTTGTTGCTGATTCTTCTGTTTGGTATTTTTCTTTTCAAGAGGTAAGATCAGAGAAAAGAAAAAGCTCCACTGCCACTCTGTTTATAGTTTCCAAATATTAAGAACATTAATGTAATTTTTTTCATATTCTGAAATTAACTAAATTCAGGAAGCTGAAAGGAAGTAACCTAAAAGCTAAGTTAAAGAAACATCAACACAATATCAAGGTAAGAAATCAATTTGATCAAACATAATTCTTATTATATATAATTAAAGCGAAGCTGTTGCATGACTGCTGGTGTAAGTCACAATGATCCAGAAAATTATCATCAAAAGTAGTAAAGTAGAAGACAACATGATCTCTTCTCTTGCTCCTTTAAGATACTGTAGCTCTCATTCTAAGGACTTCTCCAGTTCTGAAAATGATGGGAAGAAACATGCTTATAAAGAATCACAACAATCATACTAGTATATGGTGGCTGACAGGTCCAAATGAGCAGTAAACAACAAAATGAGCTGCAAAAACATGTTTGATGTCAACTTCAATACAAACAAGCACAAAAACACAAATTCGAAATAAGAACTCTGTAAACAAAAACAAAAAATAGGCTGCAAACAAGTGAAAACATGCAGCAAATGGCAAAATGAGCTGCAGATACATTTATGATGCAATGTCTGAAATCCATGCAACAAAACAAAAAAAAAAAATTGCTGAAATTACTACAAATAGAAACAAAAACCTGCAATCAACAAAACAAATGCAAACAAAAAAGAGCATCAACCACAAACAAAATGCTGCAAGAAAAAAGAAAATGGTGTAATCACAGACAGAAAGTTATGCAAATAGTAAAAGCGGCAAACACTCTATAAAATATGTAATACTGTAAGAATATGTGTTTGGTAATAAAATGAAAGATAACTAGCCTCTCCTTTATTCTTACAACATTTTTTTTTTAATCTCGTGTAAAAGCTTAAAGTGTTGATAACGCAACTCATTTTGCAGTTTGATGCACCTTTTCAACTGTTTGCAGCTCATTTCTTTTTGTTTGTGGTGTTTTTCTTTTGGAGTTTGTATCATCATTTTACAACATGTTTCTTCGTTTACTGCTCGTTTGCAGCTGTCATCCACCGTACTAATAAGATTATCACACTCAACAATATCAAAGCTAGGCAGTCAATAAAAGGCAGCTTGTTCTCTTTGGTATCGTTTTTTGGAACATAAATTTGTTCAGTGTGTTTATGTGTTCGGGAAAGGATTCCTTGGCTTTGATTTTGACTCAGGTGTCATACACATAAAGCGGGTAAAATAAGTATTGAACATGCCACCATTTTTATCAGTACCTATATTTACAGAGGTGCTATTGACATGACATTTTTACCAGATGTCATTAACAAGCCATGCAATCCAAACTTACTAAAAAAATCGAACCGTAGATGTCCAGTAATTAATTTAATGTGGAATGTCGCAGGGAAAAAGTATTGAACATGTGAAGAAAGGGAGGTGGAAAAAGGTATGGAAAGCCAAGACACCAGCCAAAATCTCTCAGTAATTAGAAAGCAATCCTGCTCTTCTCAGTGCAAATTAATATCAGCTCGTTCAGTCCCCAATGATGGCCTATAAAAAGGTGTCTCTGGTATCACACAAGAAACATCTCATAATGGGTAAAAGTAAAGAGCTTTCTCAAGACTTTTGCAACCTCATTGTTGCAAATCATTATGATGGAATTGGTTGCAGAAGGATTTCGAAACCGACCACAACTAGGTGCTTCTCACAAGATTTCTGACAAAGGAGTAACAACAATTATCAGAATAGATGTCAAACAGCCAAAGACCACTTGTCGAGAGCTTCAGAAAGACCTGGAATAAGCAGGTACAATTGTTTTAAAGAAGAAACAATGCACTCAACCGCCATGCTGTATGCACACTCACCACAGAAGATTCCATTGCTGAAGAAAAAGCATGTTGAAGCTCATTCAAAGTTTGCTGCACATCTTTTAGTCAAGCCTGTGAAATACTGTGTATATATAGTCTGGTCAGATAAGAAAATTGAACTCTTTGGATGTCATAATTCACATCATATTTAGAGGTCAATTGGCACTGTACATCACCCCAAAAACACCATACCAACAGTGAAGTTTGGAGGTGGGAACATCATGGTTTTGGGCTGTTTTTCATCATATGACAAAATTCAAATAATTGAAAGAAGGATGAATGGAAAAATGTGCAGAGACATTCTTGATAATAATCTGTTGCCATCTACCAAGATGATGAGGATGAAACATCGGTGGACATTTCAGGAAGACAATGACCCAAACACACAGCCAAGGAAACTCTCAAATGGTTTCAGAGAAAGAAAATAAAGCTGCTAGAATGGCCCAGCCAATCACCTGACTTTAATCCAATAGAAAATCTATGAAAAGTAAAGATCAGAGTTCATAGACAAGGCCCAAAAAACCTTAAGGACTTGAAGACTGTTTATGTAGAAGAATGGGCCAAAATCCCACCTGAGCAATGCATGCAACAAACTACTTAATACAGGAGGCGACTTAAAGCTGTCATTGCTAACAAAGGCTTTTGTATAAAGTATTAAATACATTTCAATAAGTCACTT